AAACCAAACAATTAAAGATGCTAGGAACAAGACAAGGAAAGGAAACAGAAATTATAGAATCTTTTTCAATGATATTTAGCCTAGCATCAAGATCAAGGTAGTTGTTCGCTCACACCTCTGTTTGGAATTCTTTCTCCCCTTGTTTAGAATTAGAGTCAAGCACCTTCACAGCTACCACCTCTCCTGTAGGCATTGTGGCTTTATAAACTGTGCCAAATGATCCTTGTCCCAAAATAGTTGTGAAATTCTGTGTAGCCTTTTGGATCTCTCTGGATATATAAAGGATCAGATATACCATTACCAATGTTAAATGTCTCTGTATAAGTTATTTTATATGCAATTCCCTGTCCTACTCTTTTTTTTCCTTTTACTATCCTGTATCACACTATGAAACTTTGTTATCAAGAGACAGCAGAACCTTCACCAATCCACAAACAATCAAAACATTTTAATATCAACGACTAAGAAGCTTTTCATTCCAGTAATAGCTATTTAATAACAAAGTTTTGAAGGAAAGAAATAGAGAGGACAAAAGAGAGAGATATAATACATACTTGTATGAGTACTTTGAAATGCCAGATGTTGGAGAAAATCGATCTTTGTTTTGATGACTCCACCAAGAGACATTGGAGTTTCTTTGCAGATTTTCTGACATCGAATTGGATATGGAACTTGTAAGAGAGGCACTAAAGTCAGTGCTTGTTCCTAATCCATTTGTGCGTATTGGAAGAGTGGTTAAACTACTCTCTTTTGCAGAATATGTAAGACGAGCATGCTTCTTATACCACCTTATCCCAAAAAATATAAGGGAAGCGATAAAAATTCCAAAGGCCACGCCAACTGTAACACCAATGATAACTAAAGTAGCTTGGCGAACCATTGTTTGACCTCCCTTGATGTAAACAATGAAATCATCTTGCAGAAGACTGGTTCTAGATAGGTCCACTGTCACAAAATTGACATTATTTTAAATTTAATTCAGGACTCCATCCATCAAGAACTAACAGACTTGACATTCAAGATATTAAGTAACATGAGTTCTTATTATATTTATTTTTCTGTCTCCAGGAGGGAGAGAATAGAGGTACAAATAATTACATTGGCTGTTCATTTGTTGCAAACGTAAACATACCATAAGTTGCTGCTAATTTCGAGTGTTGGAGTTATATGGTTGGAACTACCTCTCATGCCAAAATATGGAGGAGAGTGCCTCACAGAACCACAACAAATTGCAAGAGTACCTTGAGAAATACTTATCGATATTAAAATATTTTGATGTTCTCTTTAAGTATCAGCATCACAACTATGACATAAGGAGAGAATTTGATGGGGACACCTTGATTATGACACTGAAATTCCGCAGCAAATATCCATAAATATTAAGAGAAATTACCTGAGATGCATAGCTGGAGAACATATTAAAGAAATAAGCACCAATTGATATGCATCTCAGCATAAATCAAATTTTATTAGTTTCCCCAACAAAATTTGTCAACTAATTGGAAAGATATACAGATTTGATGGTTTATGATCACACTGTAGTTTTGCAGCAAAGGCTTCAGCAGATAGTTATCTATTCACAAACTCATCAACCGTACCCCCCAAAAAGTGACTGTTTTCAGAACACATCAAAAACCAAAAAGAAAAACGAGCGAGCAACAAAAATCCTTCCGGAACAAACAAGCCCCCTACAAGAAACAGAACAATCCACAAAGCCCAACAGACGAGAAACAAGGAAAAGCCAGAGTCAATGATCGTTTCAAAGAACATGAAAAGCCAAAACGAAAATCAATTCGTACCAATTCAGCAGAAAAACGCCACCATAATGGAATAACCACTTTTTGCATAAACCACGATCATGAACTCGAACCCCGTCCAATTTTATGCGTGTTTGGGAAGCAGAGTAAACGACATGGATTAAGTAACGACCAAGAGGTGGAAGAAAGAAACTGACTTTTGAAAGCAAAAGGGAAACTCAAATAGCACAGGCAAGCGTGAGTTGGAGCGGGACGGAAATAAAAAGAGAAACGCGGATTTGGTGGTCATGACGGCAGTGGAGTGGCTCCAAAATTTAAAGAAAGCACGGAGCCGGAAAATGCATTGCTACCATTTCATTCTGTAGTAATATTGGATGTCCTTGTGGGCCCACGCTTAATTATAATACTAGGGAATACTAAAAAAATTCATAAAATTAATTATTTATAATAAATAAGTATAATTTTTTCTAATATATATTTGTTTTAACACTCTTTAATATCTACAACCATCACAAGGACTATTTTAAAAATAAATAAATATAAAAAAATAAAATAGATTACAATTTTATATTTAGAATTAAATTAAATTTTTAATTAGTTTTTATAGTTAAGATCAGGGATAATATATGTCAGCTAATAACTTAAGTAAATTAATTTGAGAAATGTGACAAATATAGGAGATAAAATGAAAAAAAATTTTAAATTTATATCAAATCCAAGCCTAACAATCTGTATCATGAAAATTGAAAAGAGGTAGATAAGTTATTTTACTTAAATCAAGTGTCTCAAATTGATTATGTTAAGTTTTTTAATCGCTGCCATGTGTCCTTTGAAAAATAATTGCATTAATGCATAGGGCTATCCGCCTTTAAACCCTGTTTATTTTAAAAACAAACATACCTGTTTGCCTGCCTCCTAAAGCCTGCATGATTTTTGATGTTGCTCTTTGGTCTGAATCTTCAGAGAAAGCGAGACGTCCTTAGCATTTGGTCATCTTCCTCAAAAAGTTGGCATCTTGCACCGTATCCTCCCTCATCTGGGATCTTTTTTTTCTTTTAAGTAATTTGAAATTCTGGGACTAAAAAATTTCTTTCTATATCCTGAAATAAAATATGATAATAGATATTCAGTATAAATATAATGTAACGTGACGGGGACTAATCGTTAAAAAAATTTCATTTTATATGTCATATAATTTCATCAAGGAATATAATGATACGTAAAACGAATTACTAGTTTCTGTCCTAATCATGAGAGCTAGTTGACTAATTTAGAAAAATTAAGAAAAAAAGTTAAGTTAATTATTTGTAATAAATAGGAATTGTCTTTCTTAAAATATCCTTGCTAATCAAGTGTGTTGACTAGAACTATTATTATTAAAAGGACAACCTTAAAAAAAATACATAAATATGAAAAATAAAGTGAATTGAGATTTTATATTTATAATTAAAATAAAAATTAAATAAAATCTTATATTAATAACAGGACATAGTAGTTAATTATTGCTCTTGCCAGCTTCTAATGTTGATTGTGGCGGCTAGTGATTGACCTAGTTGGACGCAACTTGAGCACTCAATTACGTCATACAATTTTTTTGCGTATTATTTTCATGTGATAATACACTGACTTCTACAATGATTTTGACTTGTTATTATGCGAACCGAAAATCATAATCAATTAGAATCCACTTGTTATTATGAGCAACTAAATCCTAACATGTTAAGAATACATTTAGGATTTTAATTTTTACACATAGCCAACGAATAGTTATTTTATGGTAACTTTAGACTGCCAATATATTATATTTTATTACAATATATTGATTGAAACAAATATTTTGTGGTGAACAATAAAAGAGATGGCGTCATCATTCGCCTTCTTAGTTTTATTTGAAATATTTTCTTGACCGAGCAAAAAGAGAAGAAAATCCCCAAAAAAACAAAGAAAGAATCCCAGAAAAAAAATTTAAAAATTATTAAATCTCAAATCAAATTTGATAACATTTTAATAGATTTTGACAATACTTAATTTATAAATGATAATATATATTTTTAATGATTTTTTATTTAGGATTTAATAATTTTGAACTTTTTTTAAAAAAAAGATTACCTACGATAATTTCATTGAAAACGTGAGTCGGTAGTAGAAAGTTTTTACGTGGTCCATCACCTGTTAGGGCTATGCATTGAAACGGTGGCATTGACTCTCATATTCTATACTAAGGGTGTGTTTGGGTGACACCCCAAACCATGGTTTGGGGACCCAAACCATGGTTTGGGGAATAGATCACCCAACACCCCCTCCAAAACCAAAACCATGGTTTGGGTCAAAACCATGGTTTTGACTCCAAAACCATGGTTTTGGAAAAAGCAAAATTTTTTTGCTTTTGGAGAAAAAAGGGAGAGTGTGAGGCCCTATATGATATGTATCTTGTTATTTTTTTTATAAATCATATTTTTTATATATACACATTAATTATTTATTAATTATAATGTATTATTAATATGTTGGTAAAAACATATTATTAACAATTTTATTTCTTCAAATTAAAAAATATCATAAAATCTATTTTTTCTGTAATTATCATATTAACTTATGTCTTTTTTTTAGTAATTTGTATATATAAAAAGTGCTTCTGATAACAATTATCCAAACACTCTCACTTCTCAGAATCACTTTTTTACAAAATCTATTCTTCACAGAATCTATTTTCCCCAGAATCTATTCTCCAGAATCACTTTTCCAAACCACGGTTTGGTTTCATCCAACACACCCTAACTCGGTTCTAATCATTGTGTGTGGCCCGACGCCCGTGTCTCTTGTATAGGTCTAAATTCCCACCTACCAAATCATTATTTATCTATTTTTCCTGCACTAACAGAAAAATAATACAAACGTTTTTTTGAAAAAAAAAAAAAAAGGGCATCCACGCCCATAAGCTTCCGAGAAACTACTCCCAATATATCTAGCAAAATTTCTAGTATTTAATTAAGATTATATATGTCAGACACCCTGAAAGCAGAATGGTCACAGGCTCACAGCTTTGAGGGTCCATACCAAACGAGGAAAAATAAGAGGTGGAGGGAAGAGAAAATTTTTAATAAGTTTGATTTAAAAAATTAAGAAAGTAAGATTAAAAGCTTTTAACTAATTTTTATTACTCTTTTATAGTACTACTTTTTTTTATTAAAATTTCAAAACCCCACTTCTTTAATTTTTTAAATAGAGCTCATAAAGGATATATTATGAAGATTCAATGATGTTCAGCAATCATAATGCATTTTACATCTATGATTCTAACGGAAACAAACCACAAAAAGTCCTATAGCTGTCTCTTGTCACTGATAAAAAAAAAAAAAAAACAACAACAAAAGGCTAAGCCAAAACTTATTTTCTTCTTCCTCCTCTTCAGTTTCTAGGCTCATGATTGTTGATAGGTGGCTTGCCGTTGGCCATTCCCTTGTAATCCTTATCCATCAGATTCACGACCTCATTTGCAACCTTAATAAGGTTTTTAGCTTCATCTTTCTCAGGATGTTGTTCTTCAGTCATTTGTCTTTCAGTAGGCCTTGAAGGATTCTTCAACCTGCCTCCACCTGCCACCTTTGCATTAGAATATTGCAAACAGAAACACTTTGGGTTCTTGTCGCAAAACTTATTCCTTGGAATTACAAAATTGATGCTTTTCGATGCCTTTGGCTCCAATATGGTCATATGCTCCTTCTGTGGAACTTATTGAAATTAATGTTGGGTCTGACGTTTATTTTTTACAATAAACAAGTAGTGAATTTGCAGAAGATTATTAATATTCTGTTATCAGTAGAGAGAAGGTACACTAGAGACAAGCTCTATAAATGAGCCATTAACAGTAGGGAATTACTTCATATATTGAAAAATCAGAAAAGAACTACAATAAATCTAGAACCTGATAATTCATTTGAACCAGTAAGTTCGCCGTAGACTTCTTCAAAGCATCATCCTCCTTTCCTGAAGGACCGAAGCAGACACATATGATGAGCCACATTAATAATTTACATGGTAAAGTGCTAGCACATCTCTGTATATGTTTAAGGTATATACAACTTTCCTATGTAAAGACTTAGCACAAAGATATGGGTTTTGAGCATCCAATTAAGTCTAAGAAATTGCAGTAAATGAATTTACATATGAAAGAAACACACGTACAAGCAAGACATTAAACATGTCTTCACAGCCAAGCTGGAGCCAATAGAATCACAAAGGTTTCGATTCCTTCACTCACAGGTGAAAGCTACAAAACCCGCCCTTAGGAACTTCCTGTGGGTGCTAGTTTTGCCCCCACGCTAAAGTCAACTTCTATATCTCCTTCCCTTTCAAAGTTATATACTATTCTCAAAGCTAGGTTGCAACTAAAATCTTTTAAATCCTCCTATGTGCTTCTTTCAATCTTAAAAACCATACTCGGGTCTTTCTGGGCCATAAGGTTGCTTTCCCCTAGCCCTAGCCTCCTCATGTGAGCCGCTCCAATTCTATCAGATAATCCCTGTGAACGAAATGTAATGGATATCTTTACTGATAAAGACATCAAATCTACGATATGTCATGAGACGATAGATTAGTAAACAAACCAGTTATAGTAACCTCAGGTATGTTTACTTTCCTTCCCAGACCTGCAGTTACAGCTTTGAAAATCAGTTCACTCAATCTTTTAGTTTGATCTTGTTGAAGGTAAAATAATGAAGATGACGAAATGATTATTTTACCCACAAAAACTCTTGGTGACAGGTCTCCCAGCGCATTTGTAACCAAGAGAAACCCTAGTAAAAAGCTAGCCAGCAATCTGCGCTTCATCTTTTGATTGATTATTCTTCTCTTGGGGTTGTAGAAGTATTGTTCAACTGAGAGAAAAAACTTCACAGGCAGAACAACCTTGGTTTTACTTTAACAGAGCTAGCATGGATTCTGACATTTAACCATTATATTAATCCTTGGTATGTGGAATTTTTTTTTAAAAAAAAACCCATAAAACAGATTAGTAACAATAAAATATTCAAATATAAATTTTAAAACAAAATAGGAGGAAAGAAGTGTTCTGAATTTCAAGTATGAATGTGGTTATCTGGTTTGAACTGAAGCAAACTGAACAAAGCAGTCAAAACTAGTCATTTGATCTTACTCTGCATGTATTGTCTGCTCTGGTGCCTGATGAAAGCATAATATATAAATGAAGCTACAGATCACATGGCATATGTATGAAATATACAATCAGTCTGATCCTCTTGTACCCTACTAATAAGGTCATTTGAAATGCCAGAGTCGGTGCATGACCGCATTGCTTTTAATATTTGAGAATCTTCCACTTTTCCTGTCATATAATCCAAGCACCTGACCCTGAACTCCGTTTAGCATGTCTATGTTCAAGCCAGATCAGCTCAGACAAAAATCAAGATACATCAGATGTATTATACGATATTCATTCAAAATCATGCATCAAACTACAGATGATCTTAATTTAGAACCTAGATGATTGTCGTTTAATATATTAAAGTAAATTGAACTGAACCACCATAAGCTTTCTGAAAGATTATTAACCCATGGCCTATTCATGAGATTCTAGTCGGTAAACAGAGATAAACAAGCAAAAGAATAATGAAGGCACATTATCGTTCTTCTTCCTTTGGATAACTTAATATCAATAAAAACTAAAAAAATCTCTCTCCCAACTAGCAAGCAATAAATTCAATGTTTCTGTTGATGTGCAAAAACACAGAGAATGCAAGGTCCAGTCCGCATTAAGCATGTTCAATGCGTTAGCTGCAAGTCTTTTAACCTTGCGGCACTGGTTTTATACACTCTAGATGTCAGCGAGTTCAATTCAGCGATCACATTTTGAGATTATAAATCACCGAAAAAATTGGGTCCTACAAAGAGAGGCATACGCAACAAAATGATTCAATTGCGTGCAGGACACCCATCTCAGACTCTTAAAATCAGGTCCCGGCCGGTGCATGATTGTATAGTATTTGGTAAGAATTCTTCAAGAATCGCATCCTATCAACAACTGCATGCACGATACAATCTAGACAGCATGGGGTAGTCCATACCACCACAGGCAGTTTTTTGTAAAATGTATCTTATAATTTTTTTTTCCCCCAAGTGTATGAAGATTTCCGTGCGCTGACTTACTGTCCACGTAACTTCGAAAACAGAATGCCAGAACCAACTCAAAGAATCTTCATTAGCAGCTTTCTAACAATTCAAAGATCTCAAACAAGCTGTAACCATTTTCATCCGTTACTCAGAGATCACAACATTAACTACTCCTTAATAACTACTCTTTAATTCCCATATCTGTCAGAATTTTTAGGGGAAAAAAGCTACTAAATGGAGCAAATAATTTGAACACTTTGTTCTTGACTTGACTTGCCACATAACATTATTTGATGTCTGCTCGTGTGGTTTGCACAAGACTAGAAAGCGCACACTGGCATTTCCAGAAATCAGATACTCCGAGGAGGCTAAAGTAAATTCAGCTGGGCAGCCAAAATGTTTTCAAAAGGAAAAAATTCCAAATTCGGAGTACTTTATTTTTCTATTTGTTCTATTTTTCTTTTTGCTTTTAGTGGTTTTTTTTTTTTGGGGGGGGGGGAGAATAGCAGCTTCGGCACTCTGGTTGAATATGTTAGCTCCTTATTAAATCAGAGAAACAACACAGGCACAAGAATAGTCAAATCGTATGAAGGGCAAGACCACAAGATCCTAAATTGTGTCATCTTCACTGAGAAGGACACTATAAAAAAAAATAAAAATAAAAGATTCACTGATAAACCGCCAATCGGGGCGAACCCATTTACATGAGAAGTTATACAAAGTTACTGTCCAAGTCAAGCCTTTTTTTTATAAAAAAAAAAAAAAGTTGCATTATTCTGGTAACCCAGAAAATGTCAAAACATATTAATTTTGAAGATATGTAATTTCATTGTGATAAAAATTTCCAAGTGATATGCAGATATTCAGGAAAAAAAGGTCTTCTGATTGTACCCTGAACAGCATCCTTCCTTTTTAACATGCCGGCCCCTTGTATACAAGTTTGCAACATTTCTCGACCGTATACATCAAAGGCAGAACCCTAATTCACAGTTACACCCACTCCGCACAGTTCAATTCCGTTTATGAAGCTGCGTCAGTATTGATGATCAGGTATCTGCTTAGTACTTCTTGTGAGAACTTGACTGATAAACGAATCAGCCCATTGTGAAATAAATTTTGAATTGTTAGAAGGAATTTAATGGTCAAAAAACCATGTCAGGAAGAATTTTCCGGTAAGCCACTCAATTGTCATTTTGAATGGACATCCAACATCATGGCACAGGACTCCAGCTTAGTATATAGAAGCATCAAATCTTGGCTCATAGAAACAAACCTGGCTATTATATGACTGAAGAGCACACCCCCCAATCCAGGACCAGGCCTTTTTATCAACATCAAAAAGAAGGCCCTTCCCCTGGTTCCAAGATGTGAAGCAGATTAAATTGTCCTGTCCAAAGCATTCAAATCTCTCAGCCGATAACCTCAACAAAGCGCGAAAACATTTTGGGGGCATCCTACTTAACTCCACCCACATGATTTTAGCATGATCCAATTCCCAAATTCTCATACTCTGAAGAGTACTATAAAGGCCAATCCTCCCAACAAGAAAAAGACGTTTTTGGGTTCCAGCAACCAAATACCCATCCAATAAGGAGCGTGGGAACTTTGCTGGAATATGTTCCCAGTGACCCGTGTCTATCCGATACATCATCAAACCGAGTGGCGAAAGGGTCTCCAAATACAATCTAGAATCACAATATGCCATCTTTGAAGAGCAGAGATTAACTGCTGGCATTATTTGATGAACTGACCAGCTGTCCCTCTTTGAGTCGTAAACTTCAGTTGGTAAGGACTTGTCACCATATATATCACTAGTGGCTATCAATTTAAATGACCGATCCAGTCGATCAACAGCCATTATGAGCTGCCTCTGCTGATTATAATGCATACTTGGAAGTGTCCTCCAAGTTTGTGTGAGGGGATTACAAACCAAAGTTTTAAATGTTAATCCATCAAGCCCTGAAAAGCAAACAAGACCGCCCGAAGAACCAACTAACCAGAACGCCCACTGCGGCAAAAATGTGAATGGTATTCTATACCAGGTTTTCAGAGGCGAGCTAAAGACCGAGCATTGTGGGGTTTGTGAGTTCTTCCAAAACGTAAGAAGACACGGCCCATGAGATGGCACTCGCGAATGGAACTTGAGAAAGCTACTGTCTTGAAGTAATGAAGACCACCGTCTACAGACAGAACGAAGCCGAAAAATCATAAATGGAGGGACCCTGGCTAAGATCTCATATAACAAGTCCTCAGGCAACATTGCCCAAATATTATCCTCCATTTGAATATCAGTATGCACTGCCTTGCCAAATGTAGCAAGTGTTTCCTCGTCTAAGCCACGCGGTTTGGTCTTAATGACCTTTTGTCTTGACGGGCTAGTGTTCCTCGACCCTGTACGGCCCATAGGGCTCGTATTCCTCGAACCACCAACCCTGGTAGGCGAAACTTGCTTAAAGCATCTTTCATCTCCCCGAGGAACTCCATCACCCATTGATTGAGCGTTAGACACTCCAGACCCGGACTCAGCATAATCCCCATTACAATCCATATTCTCTGTTTTCTGGAAATCCTAAAAGAACCCAATATCTCAAATCATGGGTATTTTAGACACAGCCCTCTATCTGAACCTATTTGAGTCGCATCCAAACAAGTTTTTTCAGATTGCAATTATAGATATTGACATAACCACTGGGAGCCTTTGTTCAAACTCGTCAAGCAATTTCGAAAAACCTATTCCAGATCAAGATGCTAAATGCTCATTTGCGGTCCAAAACTGACGATTGACACCAAGATAAACAAGTAACTCAAGAACATACACAAGACTTTCTAGGCATTGACCAAATAGGGAGACGGTAGACTATAGCTCTGGAGGTCCGAGATAAAATTACCTTCGATTTCGACGTCACAAGGTTCTCCTTGATGAGGAAGCCTGTCAGAACTAGCCAAAGTTAGATTTTAACCCGGAGAGGAGGAAATAAGAACGACAAAATCCTAACCAGAGTTTAGCCTGTTCGGTATATCTCCCTTTGCAAGCCTCCATTGGATTTGATTTACTTTGTCATTATTTGACAAAGTGCAGAACACAGGATGGGAGATTGGAAACGGCGTTCGCGGATATTATCCAGTGCGAACAGAAGCAGAATTCTCGATTGCACCCAAAAAAAAAAAAAAAGAGTAAAATTCTCGAAGATTAACCTGCTGAGTATTTATCAGCTGGGCATCCGGCCAAAGAAACCTTTCACTCTATCGAATTAATGCTTATTTATATAATACTCTATAAAATTAATAAAATGGTGTATTATTCATTAATTTAAAGGTTCTCGGTTCTAAGAGTAAACAAAATGCTAGATTTTTGTTTTAAACATGAACTCATGCGCTTGAAAATAAATGTGTGAATTATGGGAAAAAAAATATAAACAAAAATTTATATAACGTCAAAATATGTCATCAAACTTAAAAGAATAATTAGGAGTAATCGCATTATTTGTCTTAAATTTTGCACAAAAGTATAGACTTTATAATTTAATTCATTCTCTAAACCTATGCATAAACATAATAACCTAGCCAACAGTGAACACCTACGAAGGGGAAAAGGTCAAATCACATTATTCAGACCAAAATTAGTTTATTTACGCGTTATGTAACCGAAAAATGAGAGCGAGCCATATGGCTGGGCTGGGCAGATGAGTGAAATGATCTGACGGTCGAGATGGAAGCACTTCAATTTTGAAAACTAATTA